GATTTTTGGCGCACTACAGACTATCCTACATCTTTTGTAGATGATCATGTTCAGTCTCACTTTTGAGTTCCAAAATATTAGGCTCTGAACATGATGTCACAAATCTATTTCATTTTGGTTAAGTGCTGACCTCCCTGCGACAATCATTTTTGGAATTTCATTCAGCGAGCATTAGGACAAATATTTCACAAGAGTGGAAACACAAATTTCGAATTCTCAACCAGTGAGTAAGCATAGAGCACGGCTAATCAAATTCCCCATAGGCACGAAATCGGAGGCAATAACTAGTAAATTTTGAAATGGAAACTATCAGAAAGTGTTTCACTCGTTAGCTTATTACTATTGCCACCACAAGAAGAACAACTCTCGTCCTGATTGATCCACGCTTGCAAAAATCTGCGATATATCCTAGATATTTCCTAATCAAGCACAAGGAGCCTTAGAATTTCACAATGTGTCTCACACAATGGCACAATTCTTTGACACGAAATCTACTATTTAGTCATGACCCCTATTTTGGCCCTGTTTGACTCACCTCCTTTTCCTCCAGTCTATCGTACAGCAGCACTTTCGTCGATGGATAGAATTTATGAATGGAAGCGATAAGGACTAGCACTTTGCCCATGGCAGTGTGATCGGAACTCAAAGCAAAAGCCATCCCAGCATCCCTGAATGCTATTTCTTGAGCGAGAATCGCCATTGCTGTCAGAGCCTTCACCTCTTGCGATGTACCGGCGCAATCGAAATGCACGAAAAGCATCTGCCACATTGTGATGAATCAGCCGAAAGCGGATAGCAATTCGGCTTTGACTCGCACAAGCACTGATCCTTGCTGCTGATCCATTCGGTGCGATAGCCCTCCTTCTGTGTGTTTTGGTAGTAGTAAAACTGGAATGATTGGGGGTTTATTAGGCTCTTACAAACACTCGTAAAAACCCCGAAGCGTTCGATCAGCCGCAAGTTGCGTTTTGGCCGTGCCCTGGCTTTGCAGCGTCTCGGAGTTTTATTATGCAGGAATGGTTTTAGTCGAAAAAATGTAAGCGAAAATGTAGGCGAGTGAGTCATCGAACTAATCGCCGCACCGTTTTCACCATTCATCCAGAGAATTCCAGCAATCGTGCAATTGCTCACACTTTGTCAACAACGGTGAAAATATGAAAACATTACATTTTTTTTACAGCGAAGGTACCGTAAGAAATCCAAAACTGCATGTTCACACCACCTTTCGCTAGATCAAATATTTTGCACCAGGCGTAGCCACGCAGGTAGCCAAACAATCCACTCGCAAAGTTCACTTCATCCTGCAGATATATGCCCCAGTATCTGCTCGTAATCATGCGTTGCAGAAGGCAGCAAATATTTGCAATGTTCGCTGGACACTGAGGTGAGTGAGTGAGTGAGGACAAATGTCTGTGTGCGCTGTGATGCGGCGATGATTCGGACGGACACTGCAGCATTTTTCTAAAAAGCCCACAACTGCTCCTTTTTTCTCGTTCATCCTATATTGAATTTATTAATCAGTAAAGCGATATATAAGCATCTATCCCTCTTTATCGTTTCATGTTTTTTTT